GGCACTAAACTATTTTTAAGTGCAAAGTGGTGGGCGGTGATCACTAACTGAGGACGTAAAAGGAGAGGCCGAGTGTAAGGGTGACTTTCTCAACGAGCTATATACGGACAAACATACTTTCTGTACTGAGCATTTGCGCACCACGGTATTCACACCGTACGACGGGTTCACAGCTGCCGGTTTCCACGTAAGAGTAGCAGCCGGGTGGAACGTGGCAATGTCAGCGCCTGCACTGGACAATAAGAAAGTTGTACTCACTCACTGACTCACTCACTCATATGATAAGCACACTCGAGACATTTAAAGAGTCGTTCAAACACTTCATACGTCCGCTCGACTACGGGTTTATGACAGCCGCGTTTCATTTGAAATATTTGTTTTCGGGATTCGTGTTTCTGCCGACGCTGTCTGCCCTCGAAGTGCGCATCCACTTCACAAGCAAGCATGACACAAATAAAGTGCAGCGCACAGTTCGCATCAATCACATTCGTGCTTACAACATGGTCAAGCTTATTTTCTTTTAGTTCTCCGCGTTCAGCGAGAGCGAATACAGCGTGCGGCTGCTTGTTGAAACCAGCAGTGTTTCTCACGCTCGATCATTTGAACGAAATGGTTATGAAAATTTGTTTAGTGATATTTCTGCCACGGTGTTCTTGCGATGCTGGAGAGCAAGCTTTTCAGATGTTTCTATCTGCAGTGCGCATTTCTTCCCTATTCCCACGCGTGCAAGAATCCCCGTGAAAAAAAAAAACACATTAATGCTGCCTCGGTGAAACGGCCTCTGAAAATACAAAAAAAGAGTGCATTATTCTTTCCTAGCGTTTCTCGTCTTTCTGGTGCATTTCGTGACGCAAGAACAGTGATTCGTGTGATGTAATTACGGCCATATAGCGCCACCGACATCGACGGGATTGCACGGTGAAGGAAGGTGAGCTCGGGCGTGACAGTTGCTCTATCCTTTTTTTTTTGTTGTTGTTATAATCGTGTACCACTTGAAGGGCCTAAACTTTCATATCACCAATTCTTGGCCAATCCCCCTGTGTGGGCAAAAGTCATATTAAAAGCATCATCATCGTCATCATCTGTCGAGTGGCGCGGCAGCAAGGCTCGCGCGAGAGGTGCAGAAAATAAAGAAAAACTCAGTTGTGCTTAGGCTATGGCGCTAAATAGACGTGTTGGGTCATTTTCTCGCGTTTTCTCCACACATACACGTGAAATGTAGGTTGTGAATTGTCTGCTACACTGCTTTACAAAGGCAGCCACCCACCCGTTCTTCCCATGACTATCGTGCGTGATCGACTGGTGATTTTGTGTGTTTTTGACTGCGCATTTAAAAGTAACAGCGTGTAGCGACAAGCGTGAAATCTTCATAAGCTCCACTGCTGGCATTGTGCAGGTGCCTTCAAGAAGTGAGTGGTGGGGACGAGCTCTCAGCTGTAGGAATGTGGAGTAGCGAAGGCAAGAAGGAAACCACTGCTTTGTTTCTGAACTCAAGGTGGTGAGGGGCCCGTAAAATGATTGTTTCATCGAACGTTGAAAGACGCAGGAAATCGACAGGACTCAGCATGTGGCAGCTTTATCTTCATAGCGAGATAGCATTTCGTGCAGAACTTGATAGTCATACCGAGGGACAATGCGCTGCAACATAAAAGCGGGATGAGTTGCTGCAGATAACGTGTGGCCAACCTTCTCATACCTTTAGTTTTTTTTAAGTATCGATATAGTAAATGGTAGCACATTTTGTTTTCAACAGTACAATCGACATTGATTGCTGCTGCTAATATAGGTCAAAGCCTTTTTCGCTGCTTGTCTCCTCTACAGTATTGCGCGCGTGGGCTATAGCTGGAACCACGGTGGCTGGAAAGGTGTTATTATTACTTTATGCCTAATGACGAGTGCTGTTGCTGAGACTAGCTAATATAGAGAGTTCGGACGTGACGTCATGAACGCAGTTTCTGAAAAAAATTGGTGCTCCACCAGGGCTGCTTCGATGACAAACAAGTTGCTTCTGTGTGAGAACGACGCGGCAGGAACGTCTCTGTGCGTGAATAATGAAGAAACCCGCATTTGATGATATTATCGTGACGTAAGAAACGTCACGTCCCCACATGCAGGTGCTCCAACATGACCCTTTCAGAAACGGCCTTCATCTACGACTGTAGTAACATTGCTGCGAGCTCATGTGTCATGTACGAACGTGAGGCAAACAGAAAGCTTTCACCTTCGGGCGCTTTCGGCTCGAAGTCGAGGGTCCGCGTCTTGGCGCGCACATTCTCCAGGGTGCCGTCAACGAACACGTACGTGCAGAATACCACATCATCTGGCTGCTCGAGCTCCAGGTATCTCTCCATGATGTCGGGGCGGTATGTGGCCATGGCTATTTCTTGAAAGTGCTGCGATGGAGGAGACGCGCCGGCTCGACTCGCCGCTGATTGAACGGGAAGCAGAACGGGCTGTTAAGAGGAAGCGCGCGTTGTGCGAGCAGCTGAGTGGAACACCAGAGAACGAGAAGGATGAGGAGAGAGAGAAAGGGTGAGGCCCGTTGTTGCGGCATAACGGGGGCGCTGACGTCAGCTAAACAGATGCTCAGGGCCGCCGCCGTCTTGCAAGTTGTGGCGGCTGCAACTGCTCCGACTCTTTTCTCTCTCCTCCTTCATTCACTTTCTTTTTCTGATTGCGTTTCACTATCAATTTTTCTCATTTATGTGCGCAAAACACTCGCTGTATGATGTTATATGCCAGACAGAGGTCAACTTTGCTGCCCCTCTGATAGTGGGAACGGAACGAGATTGATGGCGTTATACAAACTCACAACTCTTACCGTATTTCTTAATAATGGAGGGATGAAATGAAAGTGCCATTAGAGGTTATCTGGTGGCCCGTTTATCTTCTTTGCGCAGCTCTCTGTCGTTAAGCGTGAGTGAAAAAGAACAATGCACCGCGGTGTTTCCCTGCCTCTACGTTGACGCAATAAGTCAGTCACTATGGATGAGTTGTGCCATATCGACTGAACTCTCTGATAAAGGCGTAAGTGAAGCGAGGAACTGTTATCGCGTATGATGAAATGAGCTCTCTGTGGCGTAACGACAACGTCATGCGACTCTTGCGCTCCAGTTATCTTCACCGGAAACGTTGTCACGTGGAGTAAGCTCAGAAGCGTTGTTTGAGCATCGACACGGTGGCGACGAAAATGTAGAGCACAGGTTGGTTAAAGTGCAATAACATCGCTTGCATTTTCTGTGTGACCACTGCGAGCTGCAACAGGAGTGGGCTCGCTAGGGTGTGTTGTGCTCACTTTAGCTGGTGTTGCTTTGTCGCTTGATGTTGACTGGAACAGTTGGCGCTGAGTAAGGTGTACTTATTTAGAAGGTTTGAGTCCCCTGCAGCTGAGAGAAAGTGCCCGTGTGCTCAGATTTGGGTGCACGTTAAAGAACCCCAGGTGGTCTAAATTTCCGGAGCCCTCCACTACGGCGTCTCTCATAATCATATAGTGGTTTTGGGACGTTAAACCCCACATATCAATCAATCAATCAGCTGAAAGAAAGTGACGACGCCTGCTGCTTTTAACTGAGGCTAAACGTGCTGAGGATAGGGGAAACATGAATGGGTATCATCGTGATGAGAAGTAGGCCAAGTGAAAAAAAAATACAAATTCAATTTCAGCACTTTGTTGATTCGAAAATAATTTTCTGCAAGAGTGGTATTCATGAAAAAAAAATACATATCTTCATTGCTTGTTTCTTGCTTATTTGCTTTGGTCTGTAACGGTGGCACTTCTTTAATATCTGTACGCACCATGCGACTGTAAACGCATCATACTGCTGCGCCAAACTGACAACTCAAGTCCTCGTGTCTCCACGTTTTAGTATTACCTCGAGTTGGCCGCAGTGGTGCGTCGTTATGGTATAAACGCATAACTTGTTTCTCTGCTCACCCTTCATGACTTCTTCTGTTTCCTTGTCCCTCTTACCCTGGGCAGAGTAGCAAGCTAGAGCGAACTAACTCAGGCCGACCTCTCATCTCTTTCTCTCTCTCTTACCTAGAGATATATTTTGCCGTTTACTGTTGAGATTTGACGTGATCAAGTGCACTTGGCATTGACCGTGCTCACTACTGATCCATGAAGTTTACTGCTGTGAGTGCCTAATTCTAACTTACCCTGTTACATAATGTCACTGTTGGATATCATATCTTGCCTTCTTAGATGTAGCCCCATATGTATCCACCTAACGAACGCTGAGAGTTGCGTTTCCTTCACGCGAGCTTTTCTTTTTCAACGGCCCCGTTAAGCTGTTGAAGGACAGCCCCGCAGGCGCCGGGACGTCCCGCGCGGGAGCCTGGCGCCTCGGGTCGCACAGGTGGCGGGTAATATTACTCTGAAGCAGCAGACCGGCCTTGCTCCGACCGAAGTGTCCATTCTCGAACGTGGCCTTGCAATTGATTCGCGCTCTTTTTTTTTCAGCACTGCTGTCGTTCATTATCATCACCATCATCATCATCATCATCTGCCTGACTACGTCCACTACAGGACAAAGGCCTCTTCCATGTTCCGCCAGTTAACCCGGTCCTGCGCTTGCTGCTGCCAATTTATACCCGCAAACTTCTTAATCTCATCTGCCCACCTAACCTTCTGTCTCCCCCCGACCCGCTTGCCTTCTCTGGGAATCCAGTTAGTTACCCTTAATGACCAGCGGTTATCCTGTCTACGCGCAACATGCCCGGTCCATGTCCATTTCCTCTTCTTGATTTCAACTATGATATCCTTAACCCCCGTTTGTTCCCTAATCCACTCTGCTGTCTTCCTGTCTCTTAAGGTTACACCTACCATTTTTCTTTCCATTGCTCGCTGCGTCGTCCTCAATTTAACCTGAACCCTCTTTGCAAGTCTCCAGATTTCTGCTCCGTAGCTAAGTACCGGCAAGATACAGCTGTTATATACCTTCCTCTTGAGAGCTAGTGCTGTCGTTCGTTACTCATTAAATATTGCGGCGTCCGTCATGTGGCTTAAAAATCCAGTGCCGCTGAAGCCACATTCGAGCCTTTACTGCCTTTACGAGAGCAAATATCGAAATTAAATACAAACGACGCGTGCATGCTCCAGCGTACGCGTATTTATAACATCGAGTCTCTGTACACCGTTCAATCTTACAATATATCGTAGTAAAAAGGCAGTAACTGTAGTCCTTATTACCACCTTGACACATTTAGTATTTTCGCTAACGTTTACTCCTTCAGAGGTATGACATATTGTCATTACTACTTAGCATGTCAGGGTTAGTAGAGGATACTTGCGTACGTGAAGAGTTGGTAAATGTTGCTACCTATGTCACCTGTGGTATATTGTGCTGTTGTATAAAATTTATCCAATCTGTGATTTTCCTAATTATTTATGAACAGCAGCTTTCTCATATGTCAAGTCACACGTATACGAGAGTATCTAGGTATAAAAATACCCGGCCAATTCATGAAATGTAAGTCCGATTTCATGGTTAGTTTACAAGTATAACCACTGTTATCCCCAAGTATGGCTCTATGCCAACAAAATGATGAATTGGGCTGGTTGATATACGATCATCTTTCAAAAGCTATGAAGAAGCGTACCGAAGATCTGGACAGTATAGAAGTGGTCTGGGCGGTGCTTACACTCACAATTCAACTTTTATTAGTGAGAATAAGGCATATAAATTGGCTACGTGCTTTTTTTTTCGCTCATGTGTTTATAACAGAACAAGCAGCCCTCCCCCCCCCCCCCCCCAAAAAAAAGACTTGTAAGGATAATCACAAGAAGTTTCCCGCGTTAGATGTCATCTGTTATTCCTCACAAGCACTATTTGCTAGAAACGCGTGCTCCTTATCGTGCAGCCGCACTGCATTCGCTTGATAACACGGTCATGTTCCCTCTTCCGAATATGATATGATTCTACTATCTCACGTGTCAGTTTATCTATGGGAAAAAAATATATATTTAGATTTCACGAAACATGGGGTAGCATCCGCAGTTTTTATGCTATGATCAGGTAGATGGGTATTGCTTGAGTTCTTTTCAGATGAGTGGTGTTCCCTAGGCTGATCTTTCACGCATCTTGCAGACTGACCTACGTACACGTTACAACAACAACAACAAAAAAGGAATATTAGCAACCACCACTTTACGCGTCCCAAAAACTCTTTAATCTATCTCCCTATTAACAAACGGACACAAACTTCCTAGTTTGTTTGTTGCTGTAAACTTTACGTCTACTTTATGCTTACCGCCAGTGCCAGCTTTTAGGGGCGAAGCTCTTTATAGCGGCAACCGTTCGTTCCTCGTAGTCGTATTAGTAGTATGTAACCACTCTTACATTTTCACCTCCAAGTTTGTGCCGGTGGGAGATTTCTTCTGTGCGTTGCTGAACAATAAAAAATTCGCAGCGTGCGCGTTAACTAAAAGCCGAATGCTCCCGTCTCTCATTCCCCATTAGCAGCCATTGGCATGTACATTGAGCACTATTTGTTATTGTTCAACAACGCACAGAAGAAATCTCTCACCGGCACCACCTTCGTGGTCAAAATGTTATGCTTGTTACACACAACAACGGCTACGAGGGACGAACGGGTGCCGCTATAAAGATCTTCGCCCCTAAAAATATTTCGCCAACCCTGGATTTTCTGGTTAAGACAATACTTCGCAAAGTTTAAAGGAGTACAGTAAAAAAAGGGGGGCATCAGAGTTTGTATCTACCATTGTCAAAGGTCATTTTTTTTTCAATGCACAGATGTAAGTACATTCATCAGGCAGCTAAGCTGGCGAAGCGTCATTCAATGTAATACACGCGCAAACAGAGACAAGCAGAAATAGGGGCAGGCATTCTTTTACAGAACTATGGCCTTGAGCTCGACGTCCAGCTGAAGGAAGTAAAAGCATAGTTCTTCCTTTGAAATTCACGGCAGCAACTTCGCTAAAGCTGTTTCTTAACAAGGGCTACAGGCTACTGGTTGTACTGATGAAGATTTTTCTTCTTTTATCTCTTTAAACTTAGTGGTTATTTAAATAAAGAACCTCTACTTCACGATGAATTAACGTATTACACCGCGGGCGCGCCCAACCGTGGTTGTCTAGTGGCTAAGGTACTCGGCTGCTGACCCGCAAGGTCGCTGGTTCGTATCCCCGCGGCGGCGGCTGCATTTCCGACGGAGGCAGAAATGGTGTACGCCTGCGTGCTTAGATTTTGGTGCACGCTAAATGACCCCAGGTGGTTGAAATTTCCGGAGCCCTCCACTACGGCGTCTCTCATAATCATATGGTGGTTTTGTGAGGTTCAACCATATAGAAAGAAAAAAAAAGCATCACGAATGCGTGCTTATCAAGCAGTATCACGTGCAGGGATGTTGATGTTCAAACAAGCTTGTTGTGAACATCGTGACGTTTACAACGATCTTGCCTTAAAAATGATTCCTAGGAGGTACGATTTTCAGTTGAGCTAGAAAACAACAGCCTGTAGGAGTGATTGAAACTGACTT